ACACACACACACACACACACACACACACACACACACACACACACACATATAGGATGAGCTAAATAATTTAGCATAGCAAATAAAGGTTTGTTTTACAACCTTGTATGTTAAAGGCTTAAAGCTCAGTTACCCTGACTATGTTGTGGTGCTGTACTCGTGTCAGTATGGCAATCTCCTGGCTGACTGGTCCCAGCATGGGATCATCTACCCAGCAGTCGCTTATAATCCTGGCCTTGCTAATGAACTTCACTATCACCTGCGAATAAAAAAAAAAAAATCTTATGATCTATCTTGGTTTACTATAAAATCGATGAACACATCGATATCAATATTTCTACACAGATGAAAAATGGGATATGTTTCGACATTAACGAAAAATATTTTCTTACATCTGTTCCATCAGAGCGCCTTACTGCTTTCCAGACAAAACCAAAGGCTCCTTTACCGACAGCTTTAAGAGGCTGGTACTCTTCTTCAAACTGCCCGTCACAGGCTCGAGACTGCTCCAGATCCATGGTGGAGCGCAACACCTCCCCATGACTGGCCTCACCAATCCTCTAAAAGGACGAGCAGAGGGCAGAACCATGATTTGAAAGCAAAACAACACATTTCACATTTTGATAGACGAGATAGTTTGTGTGCTAACTCAGCATGAAAGACATTTACTGACCTCTCCTAGACTGGCTCCTGACTGGTCGTGCAGCAGTCGATCTGTATGCAATAGTGCCCCCTGCTGGCCAGGCCTACACATCCACACACAGAACATGGAGCTTCCATCAGGGAGGTTAGTCCTGCACACATCACACTGCACATCTGGAGAGAAAACAAGGTACTGGACTGGTTAAAGCCTTTTTTTTTTTTTGTAACACCATGTGTAGAATTTTTGAGGGAAGAATAACAGTAGCAGTGGTACCAACCGACTCTCGTGCCGTCTCTGTGGTACGCGATTCCTTCGTATCGCCCCTCCTGCATCTGTGTAGCGTCTGAGGACGAGGTGTGTCCATTCACCTTCTGTCTCTTAGGAGTAGATGTTGCAGGAATGTCCGCCATTGACTGAATCCCGCCGTTCACCGGCATGCCGAACTCTTGACTCTTTTCTTTGTGAATTGTAGAAAGAGCCGCCCACTGATCCTGCTCGCCGTGGCTGTTTTCTACTCGCTCTTCACTTCTGGCCTCGACACTAGTGTTCCCCGTCTCAGCTTCCTGGTCGGACCCGACCACGCACGGGGAGGGCGTGCGCAGCAGCTCGGCTGTATCGCAGGACGTCATGGAGTGTTGGTTATCATCAATGTACCCTCCGCCACTGAGAAGCTCCATACTACTGCTCAGATCGAGGTCGGCTAGGGCCCGGGTCACCACTTCACCGTCGCTGTTAACGTCGAGGTAACAGCTGGCCGAGTCTACTATGTGTGCTGAACGAGAATCGTCCACCGGGCCTGGATCAGAACCACCATGGCCAGCGAACTTTTCACAGAAGCCAGAGGACGACCTGGGAAATTGAGTTTGAATAAACTGATGACGAAGAACAACAACTGATGGCAATAGATCAACAAATCCTGATGGTATTATTTTATCAAAAGAACATTCTGAAGAATGTTTACAGTTTTCTTTCCAATCTCAAGCCGGCATGTCAGTGACAATAAGGGCTGCACCACATTCGCATCACTGAAACTCTGACCTATTTCAGTGGCTACTAGCTACTTATCTGTAAAAGAAGTTATTCAGTGAAAAAGATATTTAAATTCTTCAGTGATGTCTGCAAATCACTGTTAATTTTATCCATGTCTATGAGCCTCGGTAACGTAAATAACTATTGGGCTATCTTAACAATTACATGTGAGGTTTTTTGTGATTACGTGCAAATAAAGTTAAAGACAGTTACATATTTTGGTGCTAACATTTTAATGAATTGTCTCTTGAGACACAGAACTGCCACTTGTAACTACCCCCACCTGCTCTCCAGTGAAATGACCTCAAAGCTGGTGTGTTGGAGGACCGAGCCACATGTGCGGTGGGCTTTGCCTCCGTCAGGAGAGGTGCCGCCAACAGCTGGTCCATTCCGACTGGGAGTGTCTGAAGAAGTGAAACACAAAACAACAAAAAAAAAAAAAAACACTGAAAAATGCTCAACGACGGACTATTTTAATGCCACTGCACACTGTAAATATGAAATCACTCTAAATGACTGTGAACTAAAACTACAAGTCGCATCCTACCTGAGATAATCCTGATGGCAGGTTGATTATTTCTATGAACTTCATCACCGAGCTGCTGCTGGTCTTGGTTCTGGTGTGGTGGTCCGGAGGGAACCAGGCAGTAGGTCTCGTTTTGTGGAGGTTCCACCAAGGCGAACGTCCTGAGCAGTGCCTCAGTGGAATCAGCTCCGTCTAGACGGCTGGTGCAGAGAGTGACCCGGGCTGCTGCCTCCCCCATCAGCTCCGCAGTGTCATCAGCCCTGAGGAAAGAAACGCCGGATTTTCATCCAAGTATTGGAATGCCAATCAGGATCAAATACCAATGTAATGATCATAATATAAAAAGGCGTCTTGTACTAGATATGTTTTGAAAGTAATTTAGTGATCAGACGTGCACACACAGAATGATTTAAACCTCTACTGTATGTTGCTTAGTATCAGTGCATTCATAGACTTCTGACTCATGTGACATTTAATGATCACTTCTTATTCACAAGGAATTCAATCTCATTGAATATTTGACTTAGGGAATCATAACTGTAAACGAGACATTATGGAGGAGTATTTTCTCCAGGCACTCAGGTTGATGCACGCTCTTGTCTGGAAGCTGTAGATTTGACATGTTCAGCTGTAATAAAAGCTCAAGACTATTAAAACCTTGTAGTATAGTCAATGTTATGATAAAGAAGGTTATCAAGCAATAATTAATGTATCTACTACATAACCGTTTGAGGCCTTAATTGTGTATCATTCAAATACAAGGGCGGCTTTATCCACACCATGGGACATTAACTCTTGGTAGTGTAGTAAAATATATATTATAACACTACAATACCATAGTAATATGGCTGTCACAGGTCTGGTACATTTCTTTCACACTTTGGCAGTATGAAGGAGTTTTGGACTAAAAACATTCAGGTAGCTTATGACAGGGACATGGGGATTAATACTTACATAACCACTCTTGTGGAAGTGACAACCGGAGGAGAAAGTGTCAACAAACCGCTGCCCGGTTTCTCCAGCCGGGCAGCGGTTCCAGTGAAGATTTTGCCTCTCCCTGTGGAGGTTATTCCCAGAACAGCCTGATGCACCATGGCCATATCACCCGCCACCAGTGAGGACGGGTCTGAGGATTGAGAGAAAATATTATACAACACACTGTATGATCAGAGTAGCAGCACTGACACTGAGGGACACATTTGTGAGGTGCATATGGGAAAAAAGCCTGTTTAGACAGATATGACACCACAGAAGCCTGTGTATGTTGTTTGACCCAAACAAACGCTCACCATATTTCCCTGACAGTTTGGAGAAGGCTGTGCTTTTATTAACCTCCGCTTGAGACTCAGAGAAGGGGCTGCTGGCCTTTCTGTCTGTGTCAGACATCCATCCATAGAAACCAGGCATCAGAAAAGTGACACTCTGTTGAGGACCAAGCAGCAGAGACAGAAGTGAGAGTTGGCAGAGCAGTCAATACAGACAACCTGGCTCAGCTGGTCGTGTCGGCTGACCTTGCTCAGCAGCTCGTCCTCGTCGTAGCCGAACAGGCTGAGAGCCAGGTGGTTGTGGATGTGGCAGATTGAGCCATCAGGGTGGAGCAGGAGGAGACCGCTCAGAGGAGCAAACACCCAAACTGTTCCGGAGTACTCCAGCGCAGGGCTGGGGGAGAGGACAACGCTGTCCGCTTTCACGTCTGTAAGAGTCCAGACACATTGAAAAGGCACAACTCGTTACTACATTACAGTACGAGATGAGTAACATATATTGGGGGGCATAGCTTTATCCTATGGTCACTATTTTGCATATTTGATTGGTTAAACATTGTCGCCACTATCTGATCCAGCTAATTTAGTCAGTATCAGCCCTAGTGAAAACCTCCAGAAATCGCAAAGCTGTCAATGTTTCATGAGCTAAAAAACAGCCCTAAGTTTTGCTTTGTGACAATGCGGTTTTCAGATCCAATGTTTCCAAAAATTATTTATTTAGCTTGAGAAGTAGAGGAACGATCTCAACCCCTTAAAGGAACAGTGTGTAGGTTTATGGGGGATTTATTTGCAGAAATATAATACGATATTTATAACTAGATTTTCATTAGTGTAAAATCAACTGAAATTCAGAATCGTTGGGATTTCGTTACCTTAAAACGAACCGTTTCTATCTATAAAGGAAACAGGGTTTTCATTACTTTTCCATCAGGGGTTGTGTAGCTTGTGTGTATTTGTCTTACTATAAAAGGCTGAGGAGTATTAACTGCAGGATGTTCAGTGCTTGGGCAGCATAACATAGACTGTGGATAAGGCACCAATTTCTCCAAAATAATATTGAGTGTTGTTAATCCCTCTTCGACCTAGCATCCCTAAAAAACACCTTACCAGAGGACGGCTCTTCAGGGTTTAAGCCGTTTGACTTGCACACAGAGGAGGTGAGCGGACGGCTTTCCTGTGCATTGGATCTTTCACCAGTCGCTGTTGGACCGGTGGAACCAGTCCCATTGTTGTGATGTCGGGGCCTCCCACACACCACTGCTCCCCGAAGCTTGACACACAGTGGGACGGATGCACCCGCTCTGCTTTTACCACACACTCTCTGAATCCTCAGCGTCTGAAAGAAATGCAAAGTCAAAGATGGCAGACTTACAGAATTACCTGAGCGTAAAACGTTGTGGGATAATATTTATTCTCTCCGTGTTCCTGGAACCGTCTAAAAAAAGCATCTTGGTAAACAGAAACTTGAAGCGAAGCTTAAGACAGGGAGCTTTCCTCAGCAGAGTGGCGCCGTTTTGGCTGTAAAGTGTGCTTACTTTGGGCAACGCATTACTGTGCAGGGGGATTTGTAAAGAGGGGATTAGCTCCTTCACAGACGCCCCTTTTAACTCGTCAGGATGTTGGTATCCATGAAGAAGGGCAAACGCCAAGTCACAGGTTATGATACTACCCTAGAAAGAAAGATGAAGAAAGCAGGAATTCTCATGAAAATACAAAAAAAAGAAAAATCACACTTCCATGGCTGCTAAATAATGACTTACATCTTGTGTAAAGGAGAGAAAGGCAGAGACTCTTTCCACACTTTCCATCATGACAAGCCAGTGCTCTTCATTTTGTGACCTTCTGTGGGTACACACCGACACTGGCATCTCTCCAGATAATGTCACAACATCCACCTACAGAAAGAGCGGCATGTTAAACACACTCTTTGATTTTAAAGTTTGGTCCAAGATCAGCCAGCATTTTTCATACCACTTTTCCAGACACAGCCGCAACAGTTCCATCCATGAGAGGAAAATCTTCTTCCAATGCTTCTTCCAGGACCTGACTGGTTTTCTTCAAGATGGACAGCAGCTTTTTTCCAATCAGCTCACCGGTGGTGCACTCGAGCAGTTTGCAGGCCTGTTCATTTGCTGACAAAATCTGAAAAATGAAGATAAGAAACACATTTACAGCACACGCTCTAGTTGCAATATTGTTTGACTAATTCGCCACTGCTCTCATTAAAAGGGAAACTTTGGTATTTTTCAACATGGATATTAAACCTATTTTCCAAGTTTTTGTGTCTAACTGACTAATACGGACAGCAATTTCTGAAATTGGTCCAGTAATGAGCGAGAGCGCTGCAGACGGCAGCTGCTCACAGGCTGCAATATAATCATATCCAGGCAATTTGGCATCGGCAATTAACGTCCAGTGAAAGTCCTTGTTTTTGCCACTGACAGTGTCTGACATTACGTCTGACATAAAAGAGTTTCGCTCAAGGATTGGTCTCGTTCTGAGGTGACAACGGTGGCAACGTCGGACAGAGTTTGCTGTGTTGGAGTACAGAGAGAGTAGCTTTGTGTTATCTAAAAGATTTGTAATGTCATGGCTGAATATTCAGATGATTTCGACAATTTGGATGAGGTCTTTGAATTAAATTGCTGCCCATATTTATTTGAGCCAGGGTTTAAGGATGAAGAGCTACTACAAGTTGAAGAGTGGACGAGGGGAGAGAGAGACTGGGCGGAGGAGGGGGACCCAGCTGCTTCAAGGCCGCAAAGCTCGGGAGACTGGTGGCGTTCCTGTGGGTGCTGTGACCCAAAGCCCACAAAGGAAGAAAGCTGTAAAAAGTGGGAGCTCTTGCTGCCCGATATTAAGATTTTAGAACTAGACTTCTCCTTGAGCGGGACTCTGACACCATGACAAAGGTACTGGATCTGTTGGGTCCTTTCCATAATGTTGTCAGACACTTATAATAAAAATCAGAGCCTGTCAGTAGCAAAACAAGCACTTTTAGTTAATGTAGTTACATTGACGCCGCACAATTGCCCTTGCATCTCGTTTTGCAGCTGTCGGTTACAACGTTATGCCTCAATACTGGACCAGTTACAAAAGTTATTGTCCTCATCAGTCACTTAAGACAAAAAAACACAGAAAACCCTGAAGTGGACACACGGTACCTCTTTGGTTTTATGGTCGACCGTAAGAACAGCTTTGTTTGGGTTGAGGGTAGAAGGAGATCCAGACAGGCCAGAGTCTTCAGAGATGAGCTGACTGAACAAGCGTTCCTCTGTCTCTGACATAGTGGGTGGATGAGGCAGGGAATCAGCTGAGACTTTGGAGCCATGGTGTAAGCTCGAGATCTGAAGGTTTCTTGCTGCGACAGAAGTGCAAACACCCCAACTTTCACCTGTAAGAAAAAAAAAAAAGTATAACAAACTCGGTGTGTTGACTGTTAAATCATGTCAGCTCTACTCTCAATTACAACCAAAGTAGTTACTCACTGCTCGAGGAGCCAGGATAATAACGACGCTGCCGAGCCCAGAGGCTCTTCTTGTACAGCGGCCTCCGAGTACACGGGTAGGACCTATTCAGGTCGAAGTCATCCTCCAGGAGGTCACAGGTGAGGTCGGGCACCACACAAATAGTGTCTCCTTTAACTCTATTGTAGCTTTGGCTCCCCCCAAAACGAGCCTCGGTCGACAGCGACATTGTTGTTGTTTATCCAGCTGGTATTGACAATGACTGACCCAGACAGAGAGAATTAATGGATTGCAGCATTGTAACAATAGTGTATGTTTAGTTGCTCGGTTGTCTGCGTCTGATGTGAATATTAAGAGCGAAACAACACTCACCCCGTAGAAAGAAACTGTGCGGCCTGTTTCCTACAAGGGAGCAGCAGCTTCAGTTGACGCTTTGTTGACAAGGTAACGTTACCGTCACTGCGCTGTGTGGCTAACTAGCCATCAGCTAACGTAAGCGTTACTGCCGCTACAAACAAAACCAAAGTCGAGCGATGTTTGGTTCGTAAATTGCAGTGTTTCCGGTGCAATTTCAACGACTTTAGTCCGAGGGTACGTTACCGTGGCGTTAGCACAACTTTGACACCACTCCAGCAGTTTGGCGAAGGTTAAAAAAGAAGATTTTATGTGTAAACTGTTTCACTTCGTCCAGCAGTAGCTTTTGTAAACCGCGGGCTTCTAGCGGCAGCCGGAAAAGATTCACGGAAGTCCCCTGGAGCCAATCAGATATCACGTCTCTGAACAACGGCACCTCATTGGAGGATTTACCGGAAACGCCCGCCCTTGTTTCCATGGGAACCAAAAAAAGCAACCAAACTAAAATAAAATAAATATATATATGTAGCTACATACACACACACACACACACACACATATATATATATATATATATATATATATATATATATATATATATATATAAATAAAAGAGGAAAATGTCTCAAAGGCGTAAATATTTTTCACAAGTCAAATAAATAATTCACATATTATTTTTTATTATAAAACAGGTGGACACAGACAAACCGCAGCAAACAGCAGTAACTACGACAAGTTGTTTTTTATTTACTGCGGTTTACCAAACAACACGTCTATACGCAAAAATTAGAAGGCATCCATTAATCCAACATTAATAGAAAATGACTATAGATATTCTAAAACATACCACATGATAATTATAAGCTCTTTATTTGTATGTACAAATCTGATGGACACCAAAGTACATGTTTGAACAGACATAACAAAGATGATCCTATCATGTAGGCTTAAACTGGCATCTGAGAGAAGTTGGGTAAGAGTTCCAGGTGCAATGACTGCAGGGGTCCATATGGTTTTCTTTTTCTTAATTAGCTACATGGCTTTGCTTCTTAAATTCACAAGCTCTCCCTCAGGAGGTCCTCGCCAACTTCAAACTAGACAAAAGTTTTTGCCACAACACAGACTGGAATTAAATGAATCAGACATTATCCTTACTGACAGAAATTCTGGCACAGTCCAAATTAAAAACCGGTTTAAGAGGAACAATAGGGAAGTACACTATGCTGTACTTTTGCATAAGTGAAAAAGAAAAATATTACAACATGAGATGAAAAGCTCACTCTGACATAGCTGCTTGATAAGGAAAATATACATAACAGTCAGAACAGATGCATTGAAACATATTTTAGTTTGACTTATAGCTCTCTTGGTATTAGCGACATTGTGAGCAGAATTTCAGTTAATCCGGTACTGAAATAATTCATCACGTTGACAGGCCAGCTCCAGCTGCCATGGGAAATGTAAGCATGTCATCCAGTCTGCTGAGATCCAATTACACACGCCATTGTTGATTTTTTTCTTCACATCACAAACATCGTGATTTCTGTAACATTGGGTACATTTTGATACACCATCTCTTTTTTTCATGTATTTACTGCACTACCATGAGCTTATGTGATACTCTGTGGACAATATGTGCCTTTTACATTTTCTTTTCTTGATAACTGGCACATGAATGAGCTTGAGCCTGATTGTACAGTAATCTATTTCACCATTAATCTAAACTTATGATTCTTTTAATTTGTGGTTCAGCAGCTCGTTTGAGCTTGAAGAGAGTTTTGCTGCTGAAATAATCTCCCTGGATCTTCTAACTGTTGTTCAGTCCAATGGCCCGGCTGCTATAGCTGTAGCATGCATGTTTTGTCAAGTAGCTCACTTTACAATAATGAGTACTGGTCGATCTTCATACAGACAAGGAGCCAAGCAGAGCACTTTACACATACAGTCATACGCGTACACGAGCAAAGTTGGGCACACACTTATGGTGCCATGGCTGTGAGAAGGGAGCTTTGACAAGCTTTTGGAGCATAGTTCACTAAAACAGGGCCCATCCTAATGGTGGTAGTCCTTTTTCGTGTGCGGACGATTTTCCAGTATATGGTCCACTTCTGAGGCAATGCCTGCCGTCATCTTTGGAATTACCTGCACGGAGCACAACACGGAGCACACGATTAATGCTGTTGGACTGGACCACATAATGAAATATTTACTCAGTATTATTCAGGCTCAGGAAACATCTTTATACCTGGATGGCTCCCAGGTTCTCTGTCAGCTGCCTTGGATTGGAGGATCCCAGCAGCACTGAGCTCACTCCCTCGTTCCTCAGGCACCAAGCTAAAGACCGGGGATAGGAGGAGTTTATACAGCTGTTAATATAGTATCGAGGTCTGAGACAGTTACGGAGAGAAACACAGGATTTGGTTGTGAACAATATTTTGTCTGTTTGCTCTCACAGGAATGGAAAGTTGAGGGACTGAGGATGTCCTTACCTATGGCTAGCTGCGGCAAAGTACATCCGAGCTTCTCCGCGATATGAGTCAGTTCCTTTAGCTTGGCTTGTTGTTTCCTCCCATCCTCACTCATTATTTTCTCCCTCAACCACTGGTATGGCTGCAGGAGCAGAACCAGAATAAGAATTATAATTACCTCTCAAAATCCGGCATAATAACGTGAACCACAATATGTTTAATTGCTGGCTTTGTACTTCTTGCGTAAGAGTCAAAATAGATCTTATATAACATATAGACACTAGGCAGGCAGTCTAAATAAATTTAAGCCGTACCTTCATTGAGGCCCTGGAGGATTCTGGGACGCCATTCTCGTACTTCCCAGTGATGATTCCACAGGCCAAAGGTGACCAAGATACCACACCCACACCTGAGGTAGAACAAGAGCCACTGAGCAACAGGGTACAAAATCTATTGCAGCACTAAATCTATTAACAAAAGCTTACTATAGACATACCTATCTTATGGTAGAGCTCTGGCAGCTGAGTTTCCACTTTCTCCCTCTGGAAGAAGTGATACTCTGCCTGCTCACACACTGGTGGAATTAGATTAAACTGCCTGGCCACAGAATATGCTTCCTAATTGAATATGAAGAGGGAATAAAAAGGAACAGGGAAATATTAATGAGATAAAGAACATGTGCAACCATTGTGTTTGAAGATTTTCTTTTTTTTCTTCTTGTCCCGCTCCTCTTTGTATGGTATGTGTTGTAACATATTAAATCATTTTGGATTTCATTGCCCCTTTCTAAAGCATGAAGCTTCAGTAGTGTGAACCAAACATCTATCTAGATAAACTAGATCCCCCACTGAGCTCTAAATCATTATAGATGTATTCTAATTTCACGAAATTTCAATCAGAAATCACATGCAAGGTTGTCTAGGTGATGTTATCTTTAATTCCATTTTCTGAAGCCATTCTGGAAGATAACTGACTATGTAATTGCTTTGTAGTGGTAATTTAGACTGAACATTTCTCAGTGTGTTCATGGTATTAAAAATGTATGATTACAGGGATAAACAAAAAACAATGATGTCAATATATTGCCAGCCTTAGAACCAGGACTGTTTGTCTTTTATAGGCTTTTTTATTTCTTAATCTGGTGTTGCTTGCCAGGAGATACACAAAGACCTTTTCCATCACTCACCATGATCTCCATTGCAGACCACCGGGATGTCCCCCAGTACATGGACATCCCCTGATTGATCACATGCGTCATCGATCTCACTATCTCTGTAAAAAGAGCCGATATGTACATTGTCATTAATCAAACAGTGGATGGCGCCACAATCGCAACTTTTATATAACCTGCAGGAAAACCGTTTTAAAACTGTATTCATTTTAAAGTTTTTTTTTTAACTTACACTATTTTTTACATTATATACACCAAAAACGTGAGAATTAGATGAAGTTGGTATTTTTCTCAGAGAATAATACAATTCTCATAAGAGACCAGGTTTAAAGAAGACAACAATAAAACCAGAAAAGCCTTTATGTGAAACTGGCACCTTCAGGACTGTAAAAACAAACATGCTGCTTGAAAGGTATTCAGCCTCTTTGTGAGAAAGGCTCGGGTCCTTTTAAACTCACGTATAAGCAGATCTTTGCTGGGATCATACGGCTTCATATGGCCAAACGCTGCAGGGGTTAAATGAAAAGACTGGCAGAACGTTGCTTGTGCAGTTGAACAAATCATAGCTACAGCTGTAGGGGCTGCAATCAGCCACGGTGGCCTTTAGTGGTATCCGCAGGCTATTTGTGCCTGGGTACGTAATAGTGGCTGGAATAGTGGATAACCAAAATCATATGTAATAAAAACCTGCTGTGATATTCTCTCTCAAAGGAGCCTTTAACCAAGGCCATCTCACGTCTCAGGAGGAAATACTGCTATTATTTTGCATGTGTGTCTGCTGTATGCCGTGCACAAACTCTCCAATTACTGAAGGAAACAACCACAAGGCGATAAAGTAATTTATGTGATTACTTAAGTCTATAATTGCGTGCTTTGGTCTGCAGTTGTACTTAAAATGCATTAACGAAACATCTGCTTTACATTAAAGCAGTGTAAACTGTGAATGCGAAATAGGAAGCGGGAAGAGTGAGAATGAGGACGAAGAGATGAGACCAGTGTGTGTGATTTAAAAAAGAAAGAGTGATTCCTTTTCACCAGTAGTTCTATCTGTGGACCAAAATGTAGCTCAGTGAGAGACAGAGAGCAAGTGTGTGTGTGTGTGTGTGTGTGTGTGTGTGTGTGTGGGTGAAGCAGGTGGGAGGGTGGAGGGAAAACAGTGCATCTGCTCCGCAAGGAGGGGAGGGAGGGACTTTTGAGGACAGAGGAAAAAAATTTCAAACCAAGCTAGAAACCTCAGAGGCGCATTCAGTTCATGAGAGTTTGTGAGTACTCGAGTAATCCACCTCGGTGACAACTTGATCCACGGCAAACATCCGTGCATATACCTACCGGCCATTCTGAACACAGATTTTCTTTTGGCGAGGCCGCAGTGAGTCATCGGCTCCAACACCAGATGCTCACACACTGAGCAAAGCGCTCAGGTGAGATATCCAGCGTACACCTTCAACACCCCACTCACATGAACGCACCACGCGTGTGTTCAAGGATGACGATGTGAAAAACATGTTCTGTATCAACATGCTCCTGAATGTATGAGATTGGTGGACAATTAAGATAAGATCCCGACCACTCTCACATCTGTACTGCCAACGCGTATACAGCCAGCAGCCAGTTAGCTTAGTTTCGCACAAAGAGCAAGCCTGGCTCTGTCTCAAGACATCTAATTTTGCCTGCCAGCAAAAAGCTCCCAAATTAAAATGTCGGACAGGATTCCGGTAAATTACTGCCCTGACTAAGAAATAGTCAGTGATTTGCATACGGATTAAACAAACAAGACATGACATGTTAATTAATGAGCTTTGTAGGTAATATAAGGCAGATTTTGTGACCTTTAGATCTCAGTTAGCTGTTTCCAGTCTTTATACTAAACTAAGCTAAGGTAAGCTAACCATAGTTTCACAACAGACACAAGAGTGATATCCAAATTATCATCTAACGCTTGGCAAGAATGTGAAAAAGCATATTTCTCAAAATGTCAAACTATTCTTTTAATTCATTATTTATTGGCACAAAAGTCTTGCGTTGTTTGGTAAACATAATGAAACATAATCACATTGTTTAATAATTTAGGCTAAATTGTAAAACTGTGTAGAGAATAATGTTTGGGACCAATCACTTAATGTATTCTATTTTTGTGTGAGCACATGCATGAAATGCATTCTGTTTGTGTGTTAAATGCAAATGTACAAACTGCCAATATTGGCCCGTCCTTGAGACTTCTCACACAAGCAACACTGTCAGGAACATTTGGTCAACTCCAGCCAGCAGGTATCTCAGTGCCCTTCTGCAGAGGGAAGCGAGGAGTGTGGAATAAATCATTCAGCAACACACTCAGATGTCCATATTTGTCTGGGCAGGTGTCTTAGTGGATGTTCAGGAGTCGATGAGATGCTTTACGTGGAGGTGGTACGCATTTGCGAAGCTAATGTTTATGGGGCGGTGATCAATATGTCACACCACAGGGGGTTTTCAATGGCTGATGGAGCCCAGCTTAGTTCTATAATCGTGGGAAAAAAGGTTTTGAATGTGGAGCCAAAAGGGAGATAAGTATTGAGGTGTACAGAGTGGGTGAAAGGATTCTGCATGCTGCTTGTTATTGCTAAACATTTGAGGAGAGAGGCGATATCCTGCCACTTGAAGGAAACCCAAAGCCATCCAGTCAGGATGATTGGATGTCTTTGGGTTTGTGTTCAGTATGCTGTGGCAGTAGCATTTCATTTGCACTTGGCTGGAGGGCTTGTTACAAAGTCAACGCATTGATGCCATGTCTGATCATTTCCCCCGCCTGTATCTCCCATTCTTTACTCACTCTGTCCGCAGGATTTTTATATCAAGTTGATTAAATGGATGCAATTTGCTGCATAATGCTCTGTCAAATAAAAAAAATGAGGCTGAGTGACTGGAAAGCAACACTGTGCTGAGATTTGGACAGTTCACTCTGCAGGCTATGATACGCCGATTAAAACAATGAGCTGACAATGGCACAGATGCTTCTCCTTGAGGCACATTCTCTTCATATGTGCTATAATGTGAGAGCTTTGCGAACTACACCATATGGTTCAATCCAGGAAAGGAAGGTGGACGTTGGATATTTCTGACACAGGTTGGGCCTGTTAGACTGGATGTAAACCAAAAGACAAAGTCAAGAACAAGTAGGGGGAAGAGAAAGAGAAACACAAAGAGGAGGAGGATAGACGGTACAAGGAAGCGGTGATGGTAACAAAGCGAGACTCTGCGGCCATGACATCACGTTTTTTGTCCCCAAGGGGACACACGTTGTATCACACAAACTCGGGAGCAGTTAAAGTCACGAGAACAACATACAAACACAACTTCCACGCCAATGCGTTCACACACACACACACACACACACACACACACACACACACACACACAC